CTCCTGTTTAGACCCTGCCTACCTCTCTGAACTCATCTCCCAAAACCATTTGCCTTTTTTACTCCACTCAAGCCACAATGACCTCTTTGCTGTTCCCTAATACAACAAACTTATTCCTACCTCAGGACTTCTGTGCTTACTATATGCTCCCCAGCCTGGAATCCAGTCCCCACTACCTTCAAGAATCTGCCAAACTGTCACCCCCTTATAGCTTGTCTTCACCAATGAATCTTACATAGAACCCTCCTCCCCCCACAGCCCTACTCCAGCTCCCTGAACTCTCTAGTCCTCACCCTGCTTTAGTATTTGTGTAGCCATTTACTATCCCCTGACATTATGTTTACTGTACATTCCCCTCACACCCCACCCAGTGTAAACTCTGAGAGGCCAGGGCCTGTCTAGAGTGTTGACCACTGTATCCCTGACCCCTGGGACAGTGCCCGGGGCACAATGGTAGGTTCTGCTGCATCAAGGTGTGGATGATTCAAGCAATGCCAGTGTGGCATGCTACTGTGGCTGAAAACCACCCCTCCCGGGGACCAGAGTGCAGGAGTGGTCAGCGGGAGTGGTACGGGGAGATCTGTAAGGTGATGAACATGCCACTCCTATACTGAGGAGGAAGCTGTAAGTGGTTATATAAACTCAGGACAGTAACTTCTGACGTCCTGAAAGAGCATCACCTCAATGCGGATCCATAACTTGTTTTCTGCTTCTACGCAACAATGTCTTTCTAACTTCACAGATAAATTCATTTCCAGTGGAGGAAAATCACCTTCTGCCTTCGTTACTGAGATTTCCAAGTTCTGTGGTAAGCACCTGAGAGTGAGGTGTGTGGGCTCTTTTATTTTGGGTTCACATTTAACATGTGGCTCCTGCAAAGGCATTTTAAGAACACTGAGGTAACTCAAAATCAACTCCTGCCAGCAGGTGAGCCGACATCCTATTCACCCTCAGCTAAAGCAAAGTTGCTGGTGCTTGCTCTGCAGCCTGTCCTCTAAGCTTGAAATAAAAAGACATTGCCAGTTCAACTCTATGTGGAATAATATTTTCAGTGAATTTGTGGACAAGTTTCTGAGACTAGGGTGCACATTACGTCAGAAAGATGCAAAGCAAAACTAAAATTTGCAGGCTGGACTGGTCTCTGGTTTGATGCTGACAGAGGAGAGCAGCCTGTGGCTATGAGATGGAAGAAAATGTCTTTAGCTTGTCTCTCAGACTGCACAGGCAGATAATAAGCAAGTGGTCCCAGGCGCTTGGCCCTCATCCCTATTTTATATATTTGCCAGGGATGGGGAGACAGAGTGAGCACAGCCTTTCAACCTGTGCTGAGGCCACTGCCGAGAACCTAACAGCAGGCTGACCCAGGGACACACCTGGCAGGGGAGGCTCCTCAGCCTGAGCAGTCCGTTACCCTCACTGGGACCAAGTCTAGGAAAGAGACGTGTGACCACACCAGAGTGGCATCCTGCAACTTGGCCAGGGACCTCAGGCTGCCACATTTGCATTTAAAAGCCATTATGGAAATGTAATTTACTTTGAAGACAAGGTTATATTCAAATCACACTGCTCTCTCAGCAAAGTGACAGTGACCAGGAGAGGAAGAGGGAGACTACGTAGGGAACAAACAGATGAGGGAAGTTGAACTTTTCTGCAAGGGGAAACTCTTTGATGGGTACGGAGGCCTCGCCTAGTCACACGCACCTAAAGAGGTTTGAAGCACTTCATTAAATTGCAGTATAGCTATCTCCAATTTAGGTTGACTTGGTTTGAGGGAGTTTCAGGGACTGAACTTCACCGTTTGTTTTCATTTTCTAACTTCCTTAACTGAAAAGCCATAAATATGGTGACCAAATGTTTTGAATCTAAACTGGGTTTAATACTGGACTGTCCCATAAATACAGGGCATATTATCACAGTCTAAAGGAGGCTGTGGGGGGGCGCCTGGGTGGCTCAGTCAGTTAAGCGCCTGCCTTCGGCTCAGATAGTGATCCCAGGGTCCTGGGATCGAGTCCCGCATCGGGCTCCCTGCTCAGCGGGGGGCCTGCTTCTCCCTCTCCTCCTTCCTTGCGCTCTCTCTTGCTATCTCTCTCTCTCAAATAAATAAATAAAATTTAAAAAAAAAAGAAGGTTGTGGGTCTGGGGTGTCTGGCTGGCTCAGTTGCTACAGCATGTGACTCTTGATCTTCGGGGTCATGAGTTCGAGCGCCACATTGGGAGTTGAGCTTACTTCAAAACAATAATAAGTCTGTGGGTCTATTTGGAAGGTTCAAAACAACTGATAGGAAAAGTGGAAGATTCTTTGTTTTGGATGACTTTACTAAAGCAATCAGCTGGGGGGAGGGGGCGTGGTCCTGCCAGCAATACTAAGCCTGGAAAAACCTGGAGAGAGCCAGCATATAGCATGAAATATAAAACATATATATACAAAAGAGAAGTTACAGTGAGAAACCTGAGAAGGGACTTGTACCAATTGGCAAGAGCAGCAGAACCAGAGTAAGAGTCCCAAGATTCTGTACGCAAGATAATGCTCTCAGCACCCTGTAATAATACCTCCCAGGAGCCAGCCCTGAAAGGCCAAGTAGGATGAGAGAAGTTTAAACAGACAGAAGAAGCTAGAAGAGGAGAAACAGATGGGAAAGACAGAGGGGGGGAAGCAAAGAAATGGATGAATACCTGGGGGAGTAGAACAGAGCAGTGACAGAAAACGAATTATTAACTCATTCATTCAAAGTATTAGCTTTTCAAGAATATTAACTCAAAACAGACTCCTGGTTTTCAGTTCACTTGGTCTGAATCACAGTAAGTTACTGCTACCCTTTCAATTGTTCTTCATCTGCTCTAATTCTTAAATCTTGAAAGGGTCAGATCCTATGGCTCACCGAAATGGGGGAAAGAGAATTATCCTGTGGGTTTCTGGCAAAAGCAGTTATACATGTGGGCTGAAAAATATCAAGCTAAGAACCACAGGTTCCCAGCTCCTAAGCCAGAGAAGCTAAGGCCATCTGGCTGCTTATTCAGTTCTAAGTAAAATACAACTCAGAGCTGCTACAGAGTCTCATTGGTTGACCAGCAGGCCACAAGCATCTGGCTTTTAGCACTCCACATTTGCTATTAATAATGATTAGCCAATAATTTTTTAAACCATCACATGTTAGCAAGTCTTCTGTAATAAATTACTGACTTTTCAGAGAGCACTTTATACTGGTCTGACCCAGCTGTCTTCTAGAAGTTCCCCAGACATTTGCTTAGTGTGACCAGCTTTCAGAATACTTTATTCTTCTGGGTTTCAAGAGCTAATCTATTGTGGTTCAAGGTCTGCTCTACTTCATGGAGAAACTGATCAGAGAACGTCACTCCCATGAGACTCATAAATCACAACGTTATTCCCAGGCAGCTGTCCTAGAGTCAACAGTGATCTGAAGAGAGCAGTGATGTAGTCAACAGTGAGGTCTCCAAAGGTGGAGAAAAGGCACCATCTCACCCTTTTACTTCCCCCAAAGTGCTGTCTTTCCCCTCATACCCATCATGTTTATCAGAATGATAAATTAATAACCTGACAAACCACCCTCCCATTCTCATGTATCTAACCAGCTTGAAATGCCTGATGCTTCCAGTGCTGCATTTCTCTGCCAGCGAAAAGACTGGCAGCCTGGGATGTGCCAAGTTCTTGGCTCTCAACTGCAAAACAAAACAGTATAGGAGGGAATTTGTGAGTTAGCTGATTTGCAAACACTACAGCAAGTCACCGCGTAAACACTTGTTTTTGTGTACCTATTATTTCTCCCAGGCAGTTACCTGGATGCCATCCTGATGGTGGCCAAATGTGCTGCTCAAGTTACCTTGCTTCCTTCATTCACATTTAAGAGAGCTCAGCTTATTTTGCACCATTAAAAAACAAAGACAAAACCAAAAAAACCTTCATTAAATAGCAATCACAGGGCATCTCGGTTAATTATGGAAGGACAATCACCAACGTCACTCAGAATCAACACCAGGTCCACAGGTGTGTCCATAAGGGTACAGGTAGATGCCATTCAAACAGAGCCAGCTCAGGAATTCAGAAGCCACACTTACATAACAGGGATTGGTTGAAATTTCCAAGCACAAGTTCATCCTGATTCCTCTAAAGTAAAAAGTAATCTGGGTATGTGGATATTCTTTCCATGCCCCCAACTCCAAATACCAGTTTACTGAATGATCACACAAACCAACAACATCATATACTGGGCCTGACTGATGTATGTAGAAAGCATTTTGACTCTTCGCTGGAAGCCTACAAGGCAGGTTCTTCAATTTTCCATCTATTTACGGTTGAAGAATGAGAGATCAGTATTGTTAGGTGACTTGTTAGTCCCAAGTTGGTAAGAAGCAGAGACACAATCTGAATACAGATACTCCTTATTCCAAAGCCTGTATTCTTAATCATTTTGCTAAATTCTCTCTCTGTGTGTATCAAAATAAAAATGGAATAAAACTTCTACATGACAGAAGCTATTTAGATGACATCACAGAGCACTCGCATTTTCTTCTCCATGTATATCCCAGAAAGAACTTTCCACTCAGCTTTAGTGTAAATGCTAACTTCCAACTTACCAAAATCAAGGGCTGAAGCACCAATCCTCTGGTAGAAAAATAAGTGATAACCAAGAAATTTCAATGAAATTGGAAAGAGGAAAAACTGCAAGGGTTTTTTTTTTAACATTTTCGTAGTACTGCATAATCATACATTCCTAACCAAGCTTATCTAATCTAGTTCTTGCCCCAGGCAGGGCGACTTAAGTCATCCCAAAGACAGAAAGGTTCAGGCAATTTGTGGAGATCTTACAGAATCCTACCTAGCTGAGAGGCAAGTTCTAAGTATCTCTTGCCTATCTGAGGCTCTGCAAAGTGCTCTGGAGCTTTTTAGAAGAAAGGTACGGCCCATGTGCAAATATAAATCAACTCAATTTCCATATGCATAACCATCTAACCCAATGAAAGGAATACACGAGGCCCCAGGCTGCAATGCCAGTCTTCTTCGGAAAATATATTTATTATTAATAGTGAGTGCAGTAAAGATGTCCGTATTCATGATCGAGAAGAGGTGGTATAAGCCAAGGTTGCCTTTATGTTGATAAAAAATGCCTTATTTCACTTGTAATCATAAACATTATTCCAGTAAAAGAGGGTACATTTTTCTCTCCTTTTTGTCTTACTTATATGATCACCATAATAAGTTAAAATGAAGTAGCTCTTATATAGTCAAGGGAGAAAAGCAAAAGGGAAAACCAAAACACCAGAGCCTAGACGATTGCACCCAGCACTGCTGGGCTGAGATGGAGGTTTGGTGACCTCTCCCCGCCCCGCTCCAATTACCTCAGCCCCCATCCCAACCCCCAATCCCAGCTCTGCTGGAATGAAGATTCACCCAACCCTGGAGCTTGGTGAGAAGAGAAAGCTGAATTGGAAGTTAAAATTTAAAGGTAGAAAGGTCTGCCTTTCTCTTTTAATCATCATGAACAGAGTTGACTAACACTGCAGTGTGTCCTTGCTGGCTGATACCTGATCTAGGCCTTGGCTTTTCAAACTGCAGTTGATCAACTGGGATATGCTTCAGCTGAATCTGCTCTTTGGTGCTTCTCTTTAATCGTCTTCTCCTTAAATGGGTTACTTTCTTACTAGGAAAAAAAAAAAAATGTTCCGCCTCTGGAATTAACGTTGAGGAGTTCTGCTTGTTCTAAAAGTTGACTTTATCCTCCCTTCTCAAGCATGCTCTGCAAGAGAAAAAGAAAACATGAGTTTTACCAGCAGAAGGAGGGATCCCCAAAATGGCAATAACTATTTAGTACCATTTGTATTACTTTAAAAAGATCTACTCAAAAACACATAAAACAAGGTGTATGTGCTTCTTGGTCTCAAAATATTATTACTTTTAATGAACACCACTGCTTAATCATGTATAATCTCCAAATGACCCCACCCCCACCCCCGCCACCATACCAAGCTGAACTCAAGAGCGAGCATGGCCTGGATCACTGGGGGGTATGGACATGTGTGCTCTCTCTCTACCAGGGGCATTTGGAAATGTGTGGGAGTATTTCTGGTAGCCACAGGGACTGGGGTGAAGCTATTGTCATGGCAACAGGGGTGGGGGGTGGGGTGGAGTAGAGGTTAAATCCCAAAGGCTCCGAGAGGGCAAGAATCTCTCCCAGAAACCTCTGCCCACTCCAGGCAGAACACAGATGTTCATGAGCTTGTAATGCTGGATGGAGCTACAAAGATAAGTATCTATTCTGAAATTGCTTTATTTTTGTGACTGAGGGTATGTGTGGGGAGGTAAACGAAGAGTTCTCAACTATCAGAGTAAAACTCTATAACTAGCCGGGGCAGGGGATATATTCTCTCCATTCTCAGGAATCTTTAAAAGACAAAAGTGATGCTTTCCCCTTTAGTTTTGAAATTATTCAGGATGAGGCAGCTAGGTCAGGTCCAAGGTTGCCTATAGTTCATCTGTTCACACCCTTCCAGCCATTTATTCACCCAGCTCTTAAACTGAGCTCTTACTAGGTAATCATTGTAGTGAGTGAGGTGCGATGGGGAAACCAATACACAGGCCCGTGGAGAATTAAGGCATAATATAATGTAGTAATTAGCTATTTTTAAAAAATACTTGCTAAATATATGCTAAAAATTAATTTTACTGAATAAGTAATACATACAGTATAAAATTCAAGATAAACAAAAGAATATTTCCTCCCTTCTGTTTCGCAGTTTCTTGGGTATCCTTCCAGAGAAGGTAATAGTTCAAAAGAGGAGTTGTTCTAACTCGTTCAGAGGAAGAGAACTCTATAAAACTGGAGTGGTCAGAGGAGGCTCCTAATAGGACCTTGCAGACCATCTCTCTGAGTCTTTCAGAATCTAAACAGAAGGACCAGGAGCGGGCTGAGGAGGGGTGAGGGCAGGAAGCAGCGCAAAGATTCAGAGGTAGGAGCAATCCCGGTATGTATGGGGGGCAGAGGAGAAAGACCAGCCTAACTAGAGGAAAGGGTGTACCAAGGATGTACCAAGGAAAAGAGTGTCCAAAGGGCCCAGAGTGAAAGCCCATTGGCTTTCTGGAAAAAACCTGTTGGCCTCTGGAAAAAACTTGGGAATCCACATATGTCTTTAAACAGGAAAATGTCATTTAGGAGGGTTACCCTTCTTCCTTGGCATAACGGATCTAATAGATGAGAGTCTGGAGGCAAGAAGACTAGGGCAGAGGCAGATTAGGAATCAAGGGTGGGAATGAGAAATAGAGCCATAAAAGACCTGGCTAGAAACATAGAGGTGGTGAGACCTAAGGTACGGTGATCCTCAGTGACAGGGAGAATGGTGGTGTCATGGAAGAGTCAGCTTGGGAATGAGGGAAAGGACTTAAATTTTGGGTGTATAAGAAATCCCAGATGGAAATATCTAGAAGGAAGTTACAGCCTTGGGATGAGATGTCAACAGTCTTTAGAGAAAGGTTTAAAGCCAAAGATAAAGAAAAATGATTGAAATAATAGGGCAGAACAGAAAGAGTGGAAGGACAAATAAGAGAGCATCCTGGGTCACAAAGCACAGGATAGGTAGATATCCTAACTTATCCATGATTATAAGCTACTAAGAAGTCTATGTACACAGGGCACAAAAGACCAGGTATAAAAGCAGGCAAACTAGTTTAGAGAGAACACATACAGAAATGGTCACAAAAGATGATACACTCAAGGAGGAAGTAAATTAGAAAACCCAGGTGCATCTAGAGAAAAAAGGAAAGACAAAGCAGGTAAAGCAGAAGACTTCGCTCAGCAGAGTTGTCTTAACAGAACAAACACCATAATGTGAGATTTCTCTCAAACCCATCATTCACATACGCTCTGTATTTGTTGGAAAAAATAAAAATTGAGCACCTACGATGTAAGAGTCAGACCAGACAATGTCCCAGTATCATACTGTCTCATTTATCCTCTTGTGGCTTGATCTGTGTGAGACAACAACCGTGTGTCCAGTTATTTGGACAGGAAACGATGAATTCCAGACATATAGACAATCTCACCACAACATTATACGTTAATACAAAATAGAAGTCAGTATAAAGTAGATTTATACTTGGCCCATCTAAAGGCATTTAGTTACTAAAGAAAATTATAACTTTATGAGTGATGCCATTTTGCATTTTGGGAGTTAAACACTCACTACTTTCTTCAACATACCAATGGGAACTTTAAGCTATTATCTGCCTGATCAAGATTACATGGCTGTGCCTTATTCTATAGCTTAGGTCCTATGGTTATGATAGCTATGTGTCACGTGTTGCAAAATAATCTACAGTGACCACAACATAATTAAAGCAATAAAAAGTGTTTTTTTGAGAGTCTAGGGAATCTTTTTACTATTCTTCTTTCTGTAACCCCAACCAAATATATAAGGGTAATTTTCCAGCCAGATTATATAATGTTAAGAGTATGAGACTCTCTTTAATCTTTGAGAGAGACAAGCTAGGCCCTGGCTGGTTTAAAGATCAGCAGGCCAGTCTAATGAAAAGACTAACAGAACACTTTTGAGCAAATATAAAACACAGAGAAATCACGACATTCACAGAATAGCCCGCTATATGTATTAAAATTCTGATTTTCAAAGATAGCACAACAGTTCAGCTAATGCACGGGGGCTCCAGGCCAGTCTATACCCATGTTGTAAACTGCACTCAGTTGCCACCAAAGGGTGGCAGAGGTGATACAAAACTTCTTCACTCAGTCAAAGACATTAATAAATACATCAAGTTGAATAAAAAAAAAAAAGATTGGCAAAACACTCTGTTATTACTATTCTAACTATGCAATAAAACCTGCTCAAAACCTAGGCCCAACGACCTTTGGCTGGAGGGATGCTGAGGCCTGGAAAGGTCTGTGTCATTTAGTGTCACCTTATAGGTTCTCCCACAGTCTCTGTATCGGTTCTGTTAAGTAGCTGCTTTTGGGCTAAATTTCAACACTGTATAAATTTAACACCGTATAAATTAACATAGGAAATTCCCCAAAGAATCAGGGAGAAGATCTGCAAGTTATAAAAAATTGCTTCCTTCATTTAAGGAACTCCTAACACTTAATCTTAATGTGGAGAAAGAAATTCCTTGCATTTGCTCATCATTCACGTATACGGGGCCTGCAGAAACCCTTTATGAACAGCTGGGTAAATTGCCAAAAGGAGAGAATGGCTCAGGCATCCGTACTGCTCCATCCTCTAGTCTCTCTCTGATTCCGGCCACCGAGGAAGGAACGACTGGTGGCTCACAGTATCAGACAAGAGCAGGGCCCCTGGAGACCACAGACTGCCTGCCATTTCCATTTATTAAAATGATCTTCACTGTTTTCCTCAAATATTTTTGTTCCACAGTAATCTCATCAACTGATTTTTGAATTATAGCTTTCTTGAAGGGGTTGACTATCAGAGCCATGTGTCAGCTACTGGATGTCTCAATGTGTTGAAGAGGAATTACGGCAACGCTGGGTTTTTTTTTTTTTTTAAGATACTATTCAGAGTGCTTGTCTCTGAGCTCACCCAGCATCTCACCAAGATCTCAAAAGCCCTAACAAAGCTGAGTAAGGAAGCAGGAGGGTTTACAGGGGAGAATTGAAATGGGAATGTGTTTGGGTATACCTGAGTTTTTCCCAAGGAGGGACATGAAAAGTGGGGAGAGTAAAAGACAAGGGAGTGGTGAAGACACAATGAGGAGAGGACCGACAGAAGCAAAAGTAATCAATAAATTCAATTTAAGAGGAGCACAAGGAGAGCTTTGCCTGTGCACCAAGCATGACTCCTGACCACCTGCAAATCTGATTAGCTAACTTCCTGTGTTCTCGCTGTCTCTCCCCGGCCAGCCAGTGCTGTTCTCTATTCTCCCTGCTTTATGCCTGGATCTAGTTTCATATCTTCTCTGACAAATGCTCTGTGTAATATTCAAATTAAGTTACAAGTAATTAACTGTTTACACAACTTGCTGTAAAAACAGACAAAACACGAACATATTGCAGCTCTAACTCTTGAAGGATAAGCCCTAGAAAAGAAATGCCTATTAAGAAAAAGGAGTCTATTACCATTGTAATATTTCTTCTATTAAACCCAAATTAAAAAAAAAAAAGAAAATGTCGTAGAGCAACGATTACTCTCAGAGGGTTCCCTATGATAGAAGAGACTGATAACACATGTAAAAGTTTGGAATTCAGTTTGCTTTGATGTGACTCCAAGTCCGAAGGGCCACCCCACCGAAGGACGGGATATCTATTGTGGAACACGAACATGTCATCCTGAGTATGAGCAGCCCAGCTGGGCCATTAATAAATGTCACTAGGTGATGATGATAAAGAAGCCTTTGAACACAATAAAAATATGCTCCCACAGGTCTTCCCAGAATATTAACCTTCTTGATTTATCTCTGTGCTCCCTGAAGGTGGGCGTCTGTGGACATCAGAAGCAAACGCATAAAGAGAGGGGCCCCTGTGGTCAGTCAGGAGAGGGAAACAGGGTGACTGGAGGAGCAGAGCCAAGGGAGGGTTAGTCACAATTGTGAGCTGGCCAGGGGACCATGTTACCTTGGTTCAGTACCTCTTTCCTCCCTCCCACCCATGAAAACCAGGCATGGCTCCTCACCCAGGGGTACCTACAATTTCAAAGGAGGCAACAGGAGGGGGAGAAAATAACTTCTTTTTAAGGGGCTCCCGCCCTCTGTCCAAGACCTCTTCCAATCTGTTCCTGA